TGACAATTTACCCGATGACTCAAATGATGACAAAAAATGTTCGTCTACTTTTGCTGTCCTGCGGCAAGTGATCAACAAGCTGGCTCAGTTAAAGAGAAAAGGTTGATTTGTGGATTCAAAGATGTTGAAACCACTGAAGTGAAAATCAAATGACTAATTAATCAGCCAATTTACTGACAAAGAAACCCATAAAATGAACAAATAGTTCTAGGACTAGGTTACCAACTAAATCTCTGACACACAATCAGTCCATTAAACGAATGAGTGAAAATCTGACCACATGACCACACAAGTAATTAACTAAATAAGTCCTTCAATTACTGACGGACTAAGTAATCAGTCAAATCACTTAAATGATAAGAGATTACTTGTAACCAACTAAATGTTTGACTAATTAACTGACTGAAGGATAAACAAATCCTTTTGGGCCAATCTGCAGCAACTGGAAGACAGTTTAAAGACGCGTCTTTCTTCCATGTATCATCTAAAACCAGTTCATGGTCTCCAAAAAACCCTACCCCGCATCCTCATACACCTAACCCTGTACCCTGTACAATGGAAGAACGAACAGTGGCCAATCGATCTGACATTGAGATTAGCTTAAAAACGAACTAAACCTGACAGATAGCATTGTGTTATTTCACTGTTTTGAGGTCAGATAGTGTATGTAATCCCCTGTGGTTATGGTTGGGGAACAGGTCATGTGTCTTGGAGCACTCTGTGATCTGCTCTAACCACTCCCTAACACATATATATATATATATATATATATATATATATATATATATATATATATATATATATATATATATATATATATATATATATATATATATATGAAATTCACGCATGCACAGATCATAAGCTTAGTAGACTATTGTTCATTCATCCTGAGGGCGACGGAGAGAGGGAAGCAGGGTTTGCAGGAATGCTGAGAACGGGGGAAGACGGCAAGAGGCGAAAGAAAATGAGAGGAAAATGAGGTAGAGGGCAAAATAAGATTGCGAGTGCCCAACTGATGGTTTGGTGGCTGAAACTTTTACCTCAGGAACCACATGTACCCTCATTGGCCTGGGCTCAAATCCCACTAGAAGCTCCTTTCGTCCCTCTCGGCCTCTTTTATGTCTCAATGAAAAGAAGCAGGAACACTTTGTCTTTAAATCATTGTGTTCTCACATGGTAAATATATTCCCAATACACAATAAAGTAATTTTCTTTGTGCACGTCGTGGTTAAAAAGCTACAAATCGTACTTTGGTACAAACACACTAGTTTTCCACAGGTTAATTCTGAACAGACGCCACTTCAGAGAGATTCAGCATGTAATTGTCCAATAACCCATCATAGCTACTAAAATTCAAGTGTATATTGTCTTAATTGTAGTTTAATTTATCTGCATGGTTATAAAATGTAGAAGGAAAGTCATAAAAAGAACCCACAGCGATAAAATAAATTGAGGAAAACCACAGACAAGATGCAATTATGAGTTTGTGCAGGTTAGAAAATAAGGAGCTCATAAAAATCAAACCTTCAAAACTACTTCAAAATAAGCAAAATAAGAAATTAACTCATACATGCAAATGCTCAACCCACATCTTAACTAGCATTTTTAAATTGTAAGGTTCTTAAAGTGAATTGAGGGCCTGATCATTAGACAGACGTATTCATGTCTAATATAAAATTTGCTTGTTCAAATGTTCCAGTCTCTTTTCATTGGGCAGAAAATGCAAACCATGTGTACCAGTCGCTGAACTTGCTCGACAATGTTCTGCATTGCCTTCCTGCGATTACCAATTGAATAAAACCTAGTATCGTAACTTGTGTGAAACTTAATTTGCAGAATTAGACATTCCTCTGTGGTTTCAACACTGTACTCTTTAAAACTCAGTGCAAAAAGCTCAAATGTTTGTGTTCATCGCTGAAAAGTTTTTTCCCCCAACCAGCGGTGATATTAATCATTCCCTTCTCTTCTGTTCTACATTTACACCAAATTGTGACTGTTTTTGTTAGAGCTCAAAAGGTTATGTGCACGAGAATGTTATTTTTAAAAATAAAGCAAAGTGTTAATGACTGATTCACATTAATATAAAAGCCCTATTCTAGTGCAGTCCACTCACTTTCCTCCTCTCCTCTCCAATGTTCTACACTTCTAAATAATTTCCAAGACTTTTTTAAGGGAGGTTTTAGAGGTTAAATCTGAAAGAATGTTATTTGTCCAAACAACACTGACGACTGGTGACTGATTCATACTAAGAAATACTACAAGCAGCCAGGAAAGACTTAACTCTCCCCCCTCCTCTCTCTTGCTCTTTCTGCCTGTCATTCTAGTTCTGCTGACTGCAGGGGAAAACCTCCACAATGTATAAGTCTCTGTAAAGGGGGGCATCACAGAAAATTAATAAGAATGAACGCACTATGGAAAGTTTTGTGTAGGTATAATTCAGGATTGAGAAGAAGGGATTAATAGACAGAAAATATTGTAGATGACTGGAAAGAGAAAGAAGGGGAATATTTGGAACTTTGTACAAGGACCAACTTAAAGCCACTTAAAAGTTTTTAAATTGCTGTACTAATGCCGTATCTACATGTAGCTTATAGACAAAATACCATCACATTTGGGAGTTTTTTTCATCATTGAAATTTGCACGTGTCATTGCTCAGTCCATTTAAGAGTTATAACAATTTGTCAGTCATCATGCCTATAAACATTTTGACCTGATGATGGGCCATGATGCACGAAAAGTCAAAGGCTCACCAGAGTTATTACAATTCATCCTGAGGGAGAAATGAATGCCTGTACCACATTTCATGGCAATCCATCTAATACTTGTCGAGACATTGTCCTAAAAACCCCAAATGTGAACCTCATTGTGCCATCAGATAAGGATCACCAAAATCAGAAGGATTTATCCTTTAGGCACAGTGGATATCTGTACCAAATATCATGACAATCCATGTAAGTAGGTATTATAGTCTGGAGCAATGTGGTGTGCCGGTCGGTCCACCACATTGCTATCTGTTGAGCCACGCCACTAGCATGGTTAAAACAACATACAGTCCCCTCCAAAAGTACTGGAACGGTAAGGCAAATTCCTTTGTTTTTGTTGTTCACTGAAGACATTTGGGTTTAAGATCAAAAGATGAGTACGAGACAAGAGTTCAGAATTTCAGCTCTTATTTCGTGGTATTCACATCTAGACAACAACAACTCAGGACATATCACCCTTTGTTTGAACCCACCCATCTTTCAAGTGAGCAAAACTATTGGAACATGTGATGTTTCTTGTTGCCCAGCTGTTGCCTTTTAGGTTGATTGTCCAAACATTAAATAGCTCTGCATGACTAGTCTAAGTTTTCATCCTTCAAACCTATAAAGACTGCATTTCCTGTTAGAGAGGATAAACCTGAACATGAAGACCAGAGAGCAGTCTATGGGAGAAAAGCAAGCCATTGTCAAGCTGACAAAAGAAGGAAAATCGACCAGAGCCATTGGACAAACATTGGGCATAGAAAGCACAACAATTTGTAATGTCCTGAAAAAGAAAGAAACTAATGGTGTACTGAGCAACAGACGTCCAACTGGTCGGCCAAGGAAAACAACAGCAGTTGATGACAGAAATGTCGTGAGAGCTGTGAAGAAAACCCCCAAACCATCAGTAAGTGACATCACCAGCGACCTCCACAGTGCAGGGTGAAGGTATCACAATCCACTGTTGGAAGAAGACTCAGAGAGCAGAAATATAGAGGCCACACCACAAGATGCAAACCACTCATCAGCAGGAAGAATCTGAAGGCCAGATTGAAATTTGCGATGAGCCGCAAAAGTTCTGAAACACAAACTTATGGACTGATGAGACCAAGATGAATCTCTACCAAAGTGATGGAAAGGCCAAAGTGTGGAGAAAGAAAGAAGCATACAAGCTCATCTGTGAAGCCTGCTGGAGGTAATGTCATCGCTTGGGTGAGCATGGCTGCTTCTGGAACAGGCTCATTAATATTCATTGATGATGTAACTGATGATGGTAGCAGCATAATGAATTCAGAAGTGTACAGAAACATTTTGTCTACCAATTTATGGAGAAATGCATTGAAACTAATCGGGAGGAAGTTTATCATGCAGCAGGACAATGACCCAAGCAAGGGTTATGCCACCAAATATTAAATGTTATTTACTTTAAGATTATTTGTTCCATTACTTTTGCTCACCTAAGAATGCTGTTGTCTAATACAAACAGTGATATGTCCTAAGTTGTTTAACACATCTAGATGTGAATACCAGGCCAAAAAAAAAAAACAGCTGAAATTCTGAACTCTTGTCTCATACTCATCTTTTGATCTTAAACCCAAATGTCTTCAGTGAACAACAAAAACAAAGGAATTTGCCTTACCGTTCCAGTACTTTGGGAGGGGTCTGTATATCCTTTTCAGTCATTCAAATATGTGTTGCACCAAATTTGCTTAAGATTGGATCAAACGGATTGGATAAACATCTGAAACTAACAAATTGGATGGATAAACATTCCACCAAATTTCCCAGACATTATTATTGGAGAGTATTTTAGGTGTCCTGTGAACCTACAGACAGACAGATAAACAAATGGGACTGAAAAAGCTACTACTGGAGTGGAGTACATAATGTAAATATTACACTAGAATAAATTTGTTCTTCATGTCATTTCTTCACACCCTGTCTGTCAGGATCTGCCATGCTCAGACGTTTACTAATGTTCTGCTCGTGTGGGTGTTTGAGCTTACTCAAAGAGGGACATATGCCGTATACAGTCTGTTTAGTCAGTGCTTTTGTCCTCTGCTTGGACTTGCTCTGGTTCAAACATATTTCACTATGCTTTCTGTCTGCGTGCCAAGTCATTAATTTATGAGCATTTAATGAAAATCCTTGTTGATCTTTATCTGTCTGTGCAGTATGTGTCATGAACAGACAAGTGCAGTCACTTTCAGCATTTTAAATTACACTGCATGCCTCCTATTCTATCTCTCCAGGTGTTTGCCAAAGTGTTCAGCCATGAGGCCTTGGAGTCCTACCTCCCGAAAATCCAGCAGGTCATCCAGGAGAGCCTCCGAGTATGGAGCTCCAACCCCGAGCCCATCAACGTCTACAGGTACAGGGGGTCCTGGTGAAGAAATGCATTCACAAGAGACAGAAGTTTCATTGTTATTGGGCTTAGAAACTAGGGGTAGAATCAATATCTTACTGCAGGTAGACATGTCATCATAGTCGGTCAGAATATCGCAATAACAATATTGTTGTGTGTTGAAACATCATTGTTGTTGCAGGTTAGTATACGGGATGCTGGAGAGGTCATTATACGTTTCTATCCATGGCAATAAAGTGAAACATTTAATTTGCGAAAAAGAATTGTGTAACTCAAGTTCCTTGTCGAAGAGAAAGTGCATCCTCCTTAGAATTGAAATGCAAGAACAATTATGAAGAAGGTTAAAATCAAGGGCAACTAGACTTGGTTAAAGACACTTGAAGACATTTTGTTGCTCATCTGAGATACTTCTACAGTTCTGACCGGTAGAAGGACCCCGCTATTTAACCACTATCTTTAAGTCCAGTTGCCCTTGATTTTAACCTTCCTTGGATAACTATGACCTGGATGACTGAGAGCCTTCACAGACATCTTATAAAGAAGTGGTGTGAATGCATGCATATCCTCATTCAGGTGTACATTTCATCTTAAAACTGGATGTGACTGAGGTCCTGATCGGTTGTCTTTCCACAGGGAGAGCCAGAGGTTGTCCTTCACCATGGCAGTGCGGGTGCTGCTGGGATTTAGGGTGTCAGAGGAGGAGATGAGACTTCTGTTTTCAACCTTCCAGGACTTTGTTGATAACCTGTTCAGCCTTCCAATAGACCTGCCGTTTAGTGGCTACAGGAAGGTATGTGTTTACATCCTCTACTTTGTTTAAGTACCAACTTTCTTCTTACAAAAATGAAATCTTCTTGGTCTATGTTTTGTCAATTAATGTACCTCTATTTGCATGTGTCCTAAAAACAAAACTTCTCCCTTTATGCCAAGTTGTAGATGTTTTTTACTACTTAGGTAGACAAAAAAACTTAGGTAGATAATTTTCACCCCATTTTTACTTCACTTGTAACTGAAGCATTTTTCTGAGTTCTCAACATCACAAGAGGGACAAGGCTAGTGTTAACTTTCCTTTGTATGTGTTTGCAGGGTATCCGCGCACGAGACACTCTGCAGAAAAGCATAGAGAAAGCCATCAGGGAGAAGCCGCTGTGCTCCCAGGGCAAGGATTATAGTGACGCGCTGGATGTCCTGCTGGAGAGCGCTAAAGAGAATGGCTCTGAGCTCACCATGCAGGAACTTAAGGTAACATACCTATGAGGAAAAAGTGGGCAAACATATGCTGGAGAGAAGCCAGATGCACAAGAAGCCACTCAATCATACAGCGTTAACACATACTGTACATATATACACACCGACTCTGATGGTGTTCAAACATACACACAGTAACACATAGAGAACACAGTACTAAAATGCTGCCACACACACACACACACACACACATATATATATATATATATATATCTCATAATTTCTCCAACAAATCACCTTGGATCGTAAGCAATGAAAGTAACTTTTGATACCCATCTCAATGTAGGGTATGACCGCAGGGATGCTAAGCTGATGCCCATAGACAGACAGCAACCATTTAAGACACACAGACACACACACACCCGGACAGGCACACCCTCTATTTACCTATTAAAGTAATTCTGAGGAATTCAGTGGAAACTCAACTCTCTCTGCCTCTCTCGCTCTCTCACTCTGTGGTTTCTGGGTTAAGTCCATGGCCAAAAATAAGTCAACACTCCCCCTGCTAGGGGTCTGAAAGAGGCCTCCTGTACGCGCACACTCACACACACACACACACACACACATATATATATATATATATATATATATATATATATATATATATATATATATATATATATATAAAAATACACACATAAAGTGAACTGGGGAGCCCCTGTCGCTGAGGCCCAGGCTGAAGCACTCTCCTGCAGTTTTCTGACGCACGCATATATAACACACATACGTGTAGGGTGAGGCAGAGATGTGTTTTGACACAGATGATGGCAGATGAGAGGTTTATAATGAGAGTCATGCTGCCCAGCGGGGTTATTTATTCCACTACCTTAATGGACCAGGCATGGAGCGCTAAATGTTGTTATTGGATATGAACTTCATATTTCCAAACACACTACTTTTCAGGAATTCAAAACAACATACTTTTATTATGTCTTGGCATTTTTCTTTTTTTGGACCTGTGTCATTACGAAAAAAATGGCAAGCTTGAGGTGTGGGGTAGTGGATTTGTGTCCAAAGTAAGGTTGAGGTACCAGGTTGAGTTTGCTCACTATTTGGCTAAACAACTATTGAAAAAAAGTTTTTACATTAAATGTAAATAACCAATCAAAATGCCACTGAAAACTCTATAACATGCAGGTAAGATAATCTGTTTTCTTGAATCATAAATTCTGAATTTTGTTTTGGTACCACCTCAAAAACAGTAATTGTGGCTATGGCTGGACATCTGGCTAATATCCACAATCTCCCTTAAGCTCACTACACACTACCATTTTTATTTCCACTCTCCGGACTTTATTCAAGTGAAAAGCAATTAGTCCATCAGAAGCTGAGAGACAGTCCAGTTGGCTTACCCACCAAGTAAAGACAAATCAACTCATATACCCTCAGTACAATTCCACACTCTGTGAAAGTTTGTGCTCATGCTAAAATTATGCTTTATTTTCTAGATCAGTCACTGGCTTTTCCCAGCACTGGTCAAGTAGTGGATAGTAATAGAGAGTTTAGAGGCTGTATATAGAAAGTTTTATCTTTTCTAAACCCTTTATGGAGAAGAGAGATAATTGCTCATCCTGTATCTAACAATTTACTAGGTCTACTTATACAGTGGAGTGTAAGGAGTCTAAAACGTCTTAAACTGCTCACAGGCGAGATGAGGGCTCATGAGTAGGCATTGCTCATCACAAGCTGAAATGTTTAGGAACCAGTGCACTAATACACCATCTTGCCTCTCTGTCATCCCACAGGAGTCGACAATCGAGCTGATCTTTGCTGCCTTCGCCACGACAGCCAGCGCCAGCACCTCGCTCATCATGCAGCTCCTCCGCCACCCCGCTGTCCTGGAGCGCCTGAGGGAGGAGCTGAGAGCCAGGGGTCTTCTCCATAATGGCTGCCTCTGCCCTGAAGGAGAGCTGAGGTTGGACACCATTGTGAGCCTCAAGTACCTGGACTGTGTCATCAAAGAGGTCCTGAGACTCTTTTCGCCAGTCTCAGGGGCCTATCGAACCGCCATGCAGACCTTTGAACTTGACGTGAGTAGCCCAGGAATACTTCCCGACTGAATACTTTAGCCACTTAATGATTTATATCTCTTTAATATCTGTGTTTCTTATCATGCATTTAAGAAACTACCCAAAACACAAGTTTTTATGGGTACATACAAACTGCCATCCCAACTGATTCTAACATTCCTGCATTCAAAACTGGTACAAATAGAAGTACCCCATTCTTAAGCAAGGATTATACTTTCTGCGTCAGTGAGCACGCAAGGGTCCACATGAGGAGGGTCTGTGTGGACGTCCGTGTGCCTCCCATTTTTTTAGGACCACGCGGACCTGTCCGCTCACCGACTACGCTACCAGTGCGCCAACCGATCTACTGCGCATGTGTGAAACGAGTCCGCCAAGCTGACTCCAGAAAGCAGTATAAAAAGACGTAGGGCACATCGGTGAGGTCCGCAGCTGTCGGTGTGTGCATCCGCCCCCAGAGTCGAGTCAAGCCTTTAGCCAGCGAACTGGAATCAAATGTTTTGCAACTTACAAAATCTCTGGCCGTACAAGTTCATGTGCCATAATGTGTTTCGCAGCATTGATTGAAATCTACCTGCAGTCATGGTTACACCTTTACAAACCTGCTCACTGGCTTAATTTCTCTGTCTTTCTGTCTCCAGGGAGTCCAGATTCCAAAGGGCTGGAGTGTGATGTACAGCATTCGGGACACTCACGACACCTCATCTGTCTTCAAGGACGTGGAGGCCTTTGACCCTGACCGCTTCAGCCAGGAGCGGGGAGAAGACAAAGAGGGGCGCTTCAACTACCTGCCATTCGGCGGTGGAGTCCGGTCCTGCCTGGGCAAGCAGCTCGCCAACCTCTTCCTTCGCATCCTCGCTATTGAGCTGGCATGCACAAGCCGTTTTGAGCTGGCCAGCCGGCAGTTCCCTCGCGTGATCACGGTACCTGTGGTCCACCCTGTCGACGGGCTGAAGGTCAAGTTCTACGGCTTGGACTCCAACCAGAACGAGATCATGGCCAAGTCGGAAGACCTGCTGGGAGCGACTGTTTGAAGGGCAGAGAGTTAACGAGTAGGGAGGGTGAGTGATCGAAGAAGTCTTTAGGGAGAAGACTGAAGGAAGAAAAGAAAGAATTTCACAGTTATTTTTTCTTCTCCACCTTTGCTCTGCCAAGTTGGAGGTTCCTTTTCAGACTAAAAGAAAAGCGGAAGGCTTTGTCTTGTTACAACTGATGATGATCGGGACTTTCCTCTGATAAAGGAAGAAGCTGCCAAAAAAGTTCTTAATCATGCTCTATAATGGGTATTTTTTAAAAGAAATATACAAACAAAATGTATGTACAAAAAAGCTATGTAATATAATTTGAAAGAGAATGTGGGTAGTGCACAATGGGAGAGAGAGAGGTATGGTGGTACATTTGGTGAAATGAAGTGCTGAAAAGAAAAAGTAAAGATGGTTGTGGAAGGAAGGTGAGATGGATGAAACAGGGTATAGGATGAGAGAATATATTTTAGCATTTTGCTTGTGCTTAATCAGATGCAGTGAAACATTTCAGATGTCAAGCAGGGTAAAAGAGACGGATATGTAGTCTGAAAGGTCTAGATTTTCTGGTCAAAATTGCTAGATTTCGAGCAAGAATTCATCCAGATTCAACTTGTGTTTTGTGCTTTTTGGAAAAAGATTTGAAAGAATGACAGAAATCAGTAGTGGCTTTGTGTTTTCCAGCAAAGGTCCATTGCAATTCTAATTGTTTACTAGCTTACAGATGCAGTCAAGTGTATAATAGCACATTGGGTATCAGGTTGTGGCACAGATAGAGTGCGTTGCTGAGCTTGTCAGATTGGCTCTGTACCATAATGCAGTCCATACTTTGACTTGCTTAAACTTGTACTTCTAATTAGGGTCAAGTATCAATTCAGGCAGTGAAGGAAAGGGTTGCGCTTAGAAATGAGGGATATAGTTGTGGTGGGGAAGATTTACCGGCTGCATATTTTAAGGGGAGAAACACAACATTTTGAATTGATGTAAATGGGCAATTTGTTAAGTTTTATGTCCTCCTTTCCTGCTGTTTTTTTTCACAATGCTGCCTCTTTTATTTAAGATCCCATATTGCTTCTTTTTATGCGTTGTACAGTAGGATAAACATCAGTTATCACATGACAAACATCAAGGGTAAGAATTGCAGAGCTCATTTTAAAATTACAGTAATGAATAGAGGAACAAGGGAATTTTTAGATTAAGTAAATGTTCCGGGTCTTTGTTGAGGAGGTAAATCCTTGCTGGAAGATCGATGCCATCATTATGGCTTTTACATTCTCCAAACTTAAAATCTGGATAAAACCCTAAAATGTCAAGACAAATGCAAACTGCACTCAATCTAAAAAAAAAGCATTAAGAGGCTATGCTATCCTACAGTCTTATTATCTTTATCTTCAGTGAAAACCTTGCATTACCCTCTCTTCTTCAGTCTCTGCTACCCACAACTTGCCCAGCATTAAATCAAAATGTTGCCCATATATATAATCTTGGTGGTGTGTGAACTCAGGTGCAGAGTAGACATTGTGGTGAATAGCAAATAAGCCTTTGCTTTTTGATATTTAACTCTGACCGCACATAAATAATTATGATTTTTTTTTGAAAAGCTGTCAATTATTTTGCTTTCTGTCCATGTAAACAAAAATATATCAGGGGTTTCAAATAGGGCTTACTCTCACTTGACGTATTACCTTCTGCAACCATTTTGTACCCCCCCCTAAGGAAGCAGTTTTGGTGGTGCAAGCAGGATCAGCTAACAGGAATTCGTAGTTGGCATCTCACACGAAAAAGTAACCGAATCAAGGTCAAACAGTAATGAGGTCCAGGTCTGCTTTGTAAACTCTCTCAAACTGTGCTTTGATACATAAACTACACTTTCAAGTTGCATTGAGATTGTACTCTCTCAGACGGTGACTTTTATCCCGCAACAAGGACAATATAAAGAACTTGTTCCGAAAAACTGCCACAACTTCCTGAGCTGGACGAGGAGAAAAGATAGAGGGATAAGGTGGAGAGGAGAAACCGACATACATGCTGCTTGAGTGTTGCATTGTCATTCCGTGTTTGTTTATTTGTGTGCTTTTTTTTATCCCCCCCCCCTCCTTGGGGCAGCCATTTTGAGTTCTGTGGCGAAGTTCGACATTCTGTCTTGCTGCTCCTCCAATCAACGCTAAGAATGCAAAACAAAATAAATTCCATGGTTGAAGCAACTTTATTAGCTAAAAGAGATTTATTGTTTGAGGTGATTGCACAATCAGAACTCTCAGAGCTTTGTGTGTTCCATAATTGGAAAAGAAGATCTGTTTTTATTGTTTCCCATATATATATATATATATATATATATATGGGAAAGCTTCTGCAACTGAACTCTGGGAATTCGGAAACTTCGGAAATCCTTTGAGAGAGAAGGACCACAATGAGGCTTTTCTTATTGGACGATCCTGTTGTCCAATAGCATTCCAGATGGATTCTGCCTGTGCTAGACATTGTTCACTCTTTCTACCAACCACACCACTGATTTCTTCATGATAAAAAATATAAAAATATTATTTTTTTGCTGCTTTTCTTGTGTAAATTTTCTAATTGAGAGTTCTAGATTGCAATAGTTTGTACTGAGTGAGATTTGTTTTTTGCTTTTACTATATATATATATATATATATATATATATAAATTGTGAAAGCAAAAACAGCATTCATAGGTTATAGTGTATATTAATTTGTACAATATTCCTTTCTTTAGCAAGCCATTGGGAAAATCAGCTATTTACGTCTACTAATAACCTAATATTAATGTTATTGTACAATTAATATTGCTGTTATAAGATATTTGAAATGCTATTTTTTATTCTATTACAGATTTAGAGTCTTTAGCCTAAATGAGAGGGTCTTTGGTAAATATTGGATGTATTTACAATGTTATGTATTTCAGTTATATTGTAAACAGTGTTTAAAATGTTAATATTGTTGATTTGATTACTGTAATAATTATTATTTGTTTTGTTATTCAGACTTATTATCACTGCATTTTATTTGATATTAATTATGGAAAACAGAAAGCACTTGCGAGGTATGTCTATTTTTTAAGTGCCATGCGACTACACTTCCCCTTCCTCTCACCTGTTGGTTTCTCTGAACCTGTCTTAAGTCATTCTGTACATAATATTTGAATTTCTTTTTACAGGAAAATATTTCATTTAGTTTAAATATGAATGTCTTCTTCTACATTTTTCCATTCCCTTTTTGTTACCGTGATTGTTAAATGTACTCCTGTAATAAAATATAAAGTAAAAGGATATCTGAATAGTGAATTTTATATTAATCATTTCAAGTGCTAAAATCTGCACCCATTTTGCCTTTACGCTTTTTTTCTTTGGGTGAAGAGACAACAGGAAATCGATTCAAAGTGCATCAACCAATAGCAACTTGTTTTTTAAACTCCGCATTACCACATGCTGCAGCTTTTGAAACTGTATTCTGATAAAGTAAAAACACATAAAGGTGTTAATGATGATCCAGAAATCCACATCACTTCCAGTAGACCAGAATTGGTCAAGCACACATAAATACTAAAGTGTGAACACAACTTTGTGTTTTTTGATAAAACCACATGAAACGAGCACACAAACAAAAATCAAAGCATGTGCACAAGCGCATTCAGCATGCAAATTAAACAGATGGCAGACAGCCTTTATATGCTAACAACCTCGGAGTACTGAAAACAATAACATGTAAATCAGAATAGTCAGAAAACTTGTGGATGGCGAACAAGTGGGACCAGGTGCCTTCTGTCAGTTTAAATAAACTGCTAATAGCAGCAAACGCTGCAGCAACGCATCATTCCATCAACAGTATTTTTTATTATACACCCGCCTGCTAAGTTCTGTGCTATGTTGAAATATTAATTCCTGCAGTATTTGCACATGAGCCGTTTGTGGTCTGAGGCACGAGGCAGTCTGGTTTCTGACTTTCGAGTCAAACATGTTACATATCCCTCATACATCTGACATTTATAACCCTACCGTCTGCACACTTTTATATACTATCCTGCTTTGGCAGTGACGTAAATCCTTCAGGATGGTCCAAAATTTACAAAATTCAAAGGAATACCAAGTGTAGATATGTAACATCCTATAACTCTTGTAGATACAATGATCCAAAGCTCCCAAATCTTTAATGTATAGACTACTATGAATGCTCAGCATAGACTGAATGGATACCCAGAAATCCCAGCAGTGTTGTTTGCAAGGTGACAGGTGCACCACAAAAAAGCCATCATTGGAATAATAATAACGGAAATATCCTGCACACTTTGCAAGGTTTGGTCTTTGGACTAACAGGTCAACCCCTACTTATATAGGGAATGTCATTCGATTGATATCCAGCAGTGATTGGTACATCTATCCGTCTCCAATAAGAATCCTCATTGCTGCTCAAACATCCTTTTTCGTCCAATTCAGTTCAACCATGTGCTATAAATGGTCAGTTCCTTGACATAAGTGTCTCTGAATAAAATGTCACTTTGACTAAGGTGACATGATCCACATCATTTTAGAAAAATAGGATTGAAGAAGACCACAGACTACGGTAAACTGTGACGTCTTCTGTTTGTTGACAAATATGAACCATTTTGTTATTGAACTCTTCAAAGGGTCCACATGACAAATGTGGGGAATACACAGAAACTGCTGGTCTGGTTTAAACTCTCAGCGCGCTGACTGACTGATATCTCAATGCCTCCGTATCTGTTTTTATTTCTCAGCCAGCAGATTACTGTGGTTTGCGAACATCAAGAAGAAACAGGCTGTGATGTTCGCCGGGAGTTTTCCTATAGTTTGATGGAAGACAGAGACAGAGAAAGAGAGAAAGCTATTACAATGGGCACGAATGTAAAAAACTACACACACTTCAAAGACATGGTTGTGCACAAACACACAACCCTGGCTAAAGGAATACACACAAACGCACATGAGACATTTTGGAAATAGATGACAAAATAGACACGATGTGAATATTTAATTTCGACTGAAAGGAGCACTGGCACAAACAATCCTTGTGAATGCGCACACACACACACACACACACACACACACACGCACGCACATCTTGTGGGAAGAACAAGGAGTTCAGTTCTGTTTGTTTGTAGTTTTGCCGCCAGGAGAGACTGTTTGCCACACTAAGTACTCCAAGATGAACCACTTCAAGGGAACAAAGTGTGTGTGTGTGGGTTATTCCATGTCCTATTGGTTGTTGTGTGTGGACATGATTTGATGTTTTTCATGAATGAAGGTCTATGCCACTTGTTATCCTTTTAACTGTTTATGTACAGTATATATACAGTACTGTGCAGGTGTGGAAAAATGCAGTAAGGTAAAAATGCTTGATGCAAGATGTTTGGGCCGACCTACCTGTAGTTCTTTCAAAAACTATGACTTTTTATACCAAAACAAGTATGGCGCGAGCACCTTTTTCCAGAAAAAATGCCTAAAATAACAAACCCAAAATGAATCATGAATAACTCCTCAACCATTTGGCCAAGATGCATAATTCTGGTCTCCTTTGAAAAGTCAGAAGCTAAGGAATATAAATCCATTGTATATTAATATATTTATTTTACTATTACAGACTACATGGAGATGCAATAAAGAAAAAATCTGATATTTTCATCCTCACCTAGTAAAAAAAAGCTATATTTTAATGCAATAAAGAAGCTTATAATGAAACTGAATATCTTCTAATACACGTAGAATACAATTGTAACTGTAAATCTGATGAAAATAAACTAAAATACAACGGTTATCATACAACATTTTCAAAATATACCAGGCAAATGTCCATATTTTGGCAATATTTACTGATAAAATGTTGATTTATTGGTAGATATCTTTAAAACACTTTTTCTGTCCATACAACCAAGTTCCAAATAACATAACACTGAAATATCGATAAAAACAGTGAGTATTCATCAACATTCCTGTCATTCCTGTCACACCATGTGTTCTCAAGCAGCACGTTTGCTCTCTGCAGAAATGTCGAGAGCAGGCAGGCAGCTCACAGGTATTGCACAATAATCAAGATGGCGCCCACTGAGACTCAAAGCAACAACTTTGGTGGGTTTTGGACTGGTTTTGGACGGCAGAATATCTTTTTTCAGTCAGTAATTTTGCCCACAGCATGGCCTTGCTGTTTTCAACAGGTTGGTTAAGGCAACTAGAATAATTCCAGTTTATTTCAACCTGGCTTCTTTCTGTGGGAATTGTGACTCTATGGGAAACGATAACTTTGTACTCGTCACCATAATTCTATAATTTCAAACACTTTTCTCTGAGCCCTAACTGAAAGCAACATCACGATACTTTGCAATGACTGTTGCAACTGTGATGCGACAGTCATTTTTTACAAAACTGCAAGATGTCGATTGTAGGGCTGTACATAACGATTATTTTTCAAGTCGATTAATCTAACGGCTAATTTTGTGAATTCTACAGAAAAAAAAGTTTCCTATTACTCAATTCACATACCAATTTATCCAAAATAATTATCAAAAACATGTCTAATCAATAATATTTTATCCAAGAATCCTGATGAAGCCCATTAGAATAATGACAAAAGCAGCATATCTTAAAATGAATCAAATTTCCTCTTCACTGATGTGTTGTGATAATAACAATAACAGACATTAATTAGGCTACTTTATTTAAAACTTTAAATGTTTCTGACATAGATTTATTTCAATATTGAGTGATGTAGTGTGATAAGCAAATGTATTTCTGGATCAGTGTGCGGCAAAGAAAACAACTGTGCAAACAATCACTGTATACTCACGTATCACGTCTGTACTGTTAGATTCAGCTGTTTTCTTGCTCAAACGTGGCTGTTAAATAAACAGAAAATATAAAACGCCCGAACGTTAGATGACACACGGTGTACCATTATGTTACCATGACAGCAACAGGGCAGAAATTACTTTTAACATGGCGATGAAGAAAATACATTTTAACGGACTACGTGTCCTCGTGCTGAAAATGTGCCGTGCTTGTGTGGAGACAGAAAGTAAACGCGATTTGCGGTGCTGCCGTCTGGACAAAGTGCTCCAGGATACTTTTGCTTCACGTGTTCATGCTGCTCCACGTATTTGTGGACAGCAGTTGTGCTGCAGTGAAGCTCTTTTCAATTCACAGAGAGCTCTTGGAGCAGCACCTTGTTGAGTCTCTGTCTAAAATACTCCCAAACTTTAGACGGTTGACACTAACAGACACTAACACCGGATGCAGCAACACATCGATGCACGTAATGCGAGTCGACGTATTTACGTAATCGATTATGTCGACTATGTCGACGAATTGCCCCAGTCCTAGTCCATTGACTGGAAAATGGAAGTCTTTGAACAAACAACCAATGCCGTAGTTTTTTGACAGTCCTGATTTATTGTGTAAGTGTTTTTGGAAACAGACATTTCTGTCTTATGTTTGCGAAGTAAAAAAAAGGAACAAAGAAAAACAAAAGGAAGAAAGGACAAAGGGAAAGTGAGTGAAGTGGAGAAAGCAGAAAGAGCCCTCTGAGCTGTGACTTTCATTTCTTCTGCAGGATTAAACCACAGTCATTATCCACCGGACTGGATGCAGAAGCACACAGCTGCAGGTGCGAGGGATCGTGAGAAATACTGAGAACAGACAATAACCGATCAGCCTGCGGACTGAGTCAACAGAATCACACTGCTGTGGGAGCAGATGTGTGACGGTCCATCTCAGGACAAGATGATGTGGTAAAGATAGAAACAGAGAACTTAATCCAAATGCCATGTGTCTGAGCAGTTTACTTTAGGTTGGATTAGTGAAAATAAGAAACTTTAAAAAATGGAATCTGCATAGAGAAGAATGATAGAGATTTCACTTTGTCAGCTGCAAAACTTTTATTTGATCTATTATTTGTCCCTCCAATTGCTTCAGACAAGTCGCGTGGCTCTAGGTATGGCAATATTGGTATGTTAGCCTGTTGGATGGTTGGTCCACCAGCTAATGATGTTGCTGTCAGATGTAAACCTTTGTACTGATATTTATAGTTCAGACAACATATCCTACCTACCACTGGTGTTCCCTAACTTTTCCACTAGGGCCACCCTGACGTTTACATTTGGGATTTTTGGTAAAATGTCCAAACACTGAAATCTGATTGGCTCAACGGCGCAGATCAGGAGTTTACTCTCAATATGTTTTGTTGGGGCTAAACTCAGCCCAGGGTTGTGACAAGCACAACAGAGCAGGTAAATATGTCAAACAGAAAGAAGGAGGGGGGAAA